AGATCCGCCTGGCTCTGCCTCCCGAGTGCTGGGATTAAAGGCGTGCGCCACCACCACCCGGCGTAATAGTTTTTAATGAGAGCTTTGCAGTCCCAGTCTCAAATACACAAGTGATAGTTAGTGTTCAGTGTTTGCTGACAGGATGAAAAAGGGCTTCAATTTTCAACACTCTTGTGATTCCGTGATGGCAGCTGCCAAGCTTTGGTGTCATGCATCCAAATCCTTACGTCTAGTACAACTATAACCACCAGCTTGACTGCTAAAGACTCCTCCATTCACACACACACACACACACACACACACACACACACACACACACACACACCGCCACCGCCTCCCCAGTACTGGACAACTGAGCCCTTCTAGCTCCTCACAAAGGCCTCAGCACCTTTCAGAATCAGACCTTTCTCACACAGTTTCCTTTCTGGAACACTTTGCTAACATACAGACATCACTTAAGGTCAGTTACGTTGATCTCGGGGAGGTCTTCCCCAACCACTGCTTCTCTTGGTGCTCTCTAGGCCTCCACGTCTGACCTTCTCTGGATTGCCGTTACTCTTTATTCAGCTGCTTGATGGCCTGAGCACCTTATTCAATCCGTACCCTTACCACAGTTCTCCTTTAGAATCACTTAAAGATTCCTTCCCTTAAGATCTGTCCAAATACCACAAGCTGCAAATGCTTAAGTCTCTTTCCATAAAACACCACAGTGTTTCCACAGACCCCAAGTGCCCTCAGGTAGACTTTAATGATATTACTGCCTTACACTGGAGACAATGTAAACAGTTATTACACTACATTGCTTAGGGAACGACCAATAATAATATCACAAAATGTCTGCATGTGTCCATTACAGACACAGCTATCACAGGCCTAACTGCACATAATATATGATTGAGATGCACAGCAATGACCCAGCAGTGCCAGAGATGGTGAGGATGGAGACGATCGATGGCAGGAAGCTGCAGGAAGGCCTTCATTCCCATACATCACTTCTTCCTTATGAACTCAGTCCAGCAATCAATCTATGACAAATTCAAGTCTACCTTTTGAAACTTTTTGGTTTTTTTGTTTTTGAGACAGTTTCTCTGTATAGCCATGGCTGTCCTGGAACTCACTTGGTAGACCAGGCTGGCCTCGAACTCAGAGACCCACCTGCCTCTGCCTCCCAGGTGCTAGAATTAAAGACACCTTGTGCCTGGCTGTTGTTTTCTGAGACAGCATTGAACTTGTATTCCTATTGCCTCAGACCCCGTTTGCCACTCAACAATGCCTACTTAAATATTTCCACGATGTACATGGTTCTTCTACATTCTAATTTTTCCGATTATAACAGTAGCTAAACAGGCTCTCCAAAATGGGGAGATTGTTTTTCAGGCAATTTCTGATAATGTGTAACTGGTTTTTCTGTTTGTATCATCAAGCAAGTCTAATTTTTTTGTTTTGTTTTGTTTTTTTGAGGCAAGGTTTCTCTGTGTAGCTTTGGAGTCTTCCCTGGAACTCACTTTGCAGACCTTGAACTCACAGAGATCTGCCTGCCTCTGCCTCCTGAGTGCTGGGATTAAAGGCATATGCCACCACCACCTGCCAAGTCTAATTTTCTTATTAAAATTTCACTTAATGAGAAGGGCTTGGGGAACTGGTAGCAGTCCTTCTAGGCTAAAAGAATAAGCATAGCAGAGATGCACTGTGGTACTTGAAAGTGGCTGAGAAGAGAGTGGCATTATCTAAGGGACCATGCATTCTCTGTCCTTCTCCTTACCTTTCAATTTTTAAACACCTGAACTTAGAAATAAAGATCATGGTGCTAGCGAGATGGCTTGGTGGTTTAGGGCACTGGCTATTCTTCCAGAGGACCTGAGTTCAATTCCCAGCACTCACATAGCAGCTCACAGCTGTCTGTAGCTACAGTTCCAGGGGACCCAACACCCTAACACAGACATGAATGCAGACAAAACACCAAGCACATAAAATTTTAAAAAAATTAAATAAAATCTTAAAAAAAGATAAAGATCACCCAGTTTGCTTTAATTTCAAAGTGGGAAGTAAAATGAAAATTAGGTTTCCAGAGATGTATCAGCAAAGCAGGCTGAAGATCTGTCTTACCATTGTGCACATAGGTGACCCTCCGTTCTTCCCTGGTTACCAGGTTCGATATCCAGATATCGTTGCTGTGAATGAAAGCTATCCAGTCTGGATCAGCAGGGCATAATTTGGGATCCATCCGTATATTGGGACAACTAGTTTCCACTAAATTGGGCCGTAAAGGTTGTTGCTAGAAAAGTAAACAACATTTTAAGGTAAGCAATAAGGTTGACAAATACTAATTTTTTTTCCAGATTGTTTTTCCTGTAAGACAGATGGCATTTCTAACTAAAATGTCCATAACAGCTGCATCCCAGGAAAAATATACTTTCAATTGGCTTCACTTACTAAGAACTCTTTTTTAGATGATGAATGGAAGAGCTAAGGGTGACAGATAATAAACACTGTATTACAAACCAAGACAATGTAACCTTTTTTTTTGAGACAGAGTCACTATAGCCCTTGGCTAGTCTGGAACTCACAAAATAGACCAGGCTGACCTTGAATTCACAGAGATCCACTTGCTTCTGCCCCCTGAGTGCTGGGATTAAGGGCATGTGCCACTATGTCTAGCTTGTGGAATATTTTCTTTCTTTCTTTCTTTCTTTCTTTCTTTCTTTCTTTCTTTCTTTCTTTCTTTCTTTCTTTCTTTCTTTCTTCCTT